ATTTAAGTGTTTCATACCGTGGTTATTCACTTTATATTTTATAATTTTCAATGCAGGTGTAACGTGTGAAAGTGATTACCATGAGATTTCGAATTCTCACACCATCAAAATCTCACGGCTGACACCGTGTGAAAGTTACATCATGAGATTTTGATTTTTATCGCTTCAAATACATTGGGGGCCATTAATCTCACGGTTATTCAATATTTCAAAATCTCATAGATATTTTTAAAATCTCGCATTATTAATTTAAATATACTTTTAAAACGTCAGATTTGAATGAGGCTGTCAAATTAGAAATATTTCTATATAATACAATTTAATTTGAAATTCTTTTTCATTATGAAGTAAATTTTTAACAATATATTTTTTATTTCAGAAATATTTTAGCTCAAATTATAATGATATATATGACTTCCTAAAATGTTCTAAAGTTCCAGTGCACCGCCTTCAAGATTATAGAAAATCAATTATTCTATGGGGAAAGTAAATTTTAGATATGTCATGATTAATTTATTAAAATTAGCCATTATAAGTTTAATGCAATATATTATTTTTTAACATTGAAAAATGCTCAGGCCATTGATTATTATCTTTTTTTCATCTAAAATTAATTATAGCTGCAAATGTAAGTGTATATATATATATGTAAGAACATTTGATAAAATTTTACATATAGGCATTATTAAATGCTATTTTACAACTAAAATTTAATTTAGATTATCACATAAAGATGAAAAGTAAATGTTAGATACTTTTATTATAATGTATATTGGGCTTATAAATGATTGCATAATTAATTTATTAAAGTTAGGTATTATAATATATACAACTAAAATTGTATGACAAAATTAAGTGCAGTTTATTATTCTAGCCATTGATTATATATATTTTTTCTGCATCACAAATATTATTATATATATAATTTAATGATATTTTAGAAGAAAGAAGTTATACTGACAGGAGATGAACAAAAAAAATAATTAAAACAATACATGATGGGGGTGTATCTACAGTTGCAGGTATTGCTATGGGAGGGCATCTGGGGATTAATAAAACTAATCAAATAATAGCTGAAAAACAAAAATTTGCAATATTCTTTTAATTATATTTTTTATAGAGAGTTTATCAAATTCTGTGAGGTTTGTCAAAAATCAAGCAGTCGTTTTGATAAAACCTCAAATGTTTTGCACAATAAAAGTCTAGGTATCAAATTGGCATCGATTTAATCCAGATGCCAGAATCTAAGGAAAAATACAAATATATTTTATGTGCCATATGCTATTTTTCAAAATATTTAATGATATTCCTATTAAGGATAAAACAGCTAAATATGTTGTAAAAGCCTTATACATCATTGTCAACACCCACCAATGCTATGAAGTAATAAAATAAATACCAATTTTAACTGAATTTTATTATATTAATATATATTTTTTTAAATTTAATAAAACTAAAATATATATTTATTAAAGATTCAGATAAATGATCAAGGCAGGGAATTCTGTAACAATGTTTGTACAGAATTCCATAAATATTGTAGAGAGTAACCTCAGCCTACCACCCACAAGCAAATGGTTTGGTTCTTGCTCCAGAGTTTGTTGATCCAAAGTCTCCCAGAGGCAGCGTCTACATGGCAGAAAATTTGATGGAGGCAAACCCCTCCAAAATCTACCCATACCCACCTAAAAAAAATCCTGCGGCCTTCGGCCGCGAAATTTACAGACCTACGATGGTATAGGGATTTTATTTAAAAAATCTTATCTGCCACCATTTATAACCTTACAACATAATTCTATTTACAATCTTTCAAGCCTATTTAGGGAAAAAAAATTTAAAAATTTGTAAGTGATAATGAACTTTTATTTAAATAATGCAATCTTTTCATAATTTGGTATTCACTTTATTTTCATAAAATATATATAAGTGAATTAAATGAGATAACATATTAATATTTCTATGAAAAAGATCTAAAATATTGTAAAAAATATAAGACGAATAAATTTAAAGAGGTATATTTAGCTTGATTCCACATAATTAAAAACATGTATTGTAAATAGAGCTATTATATAAAATATTAGAATAAAATGAATTATAGTATATTTTGCATTGAAATTATAAAATGTTAAATTAAATATACATTATTTAAAAGCCTATATATTCGCTGTGAAAAAGATACATTAATTATTTTATTAATAATTTGGATAACCTTATTGATGTTAAAGCAAATTGTTTTATAATATCATCAATTGTAAATTTTTCAAAAACATCAATTTCGCTGGATATTAACAGTAAATTTTCCAAAAATGGGTCCGAAATTTTATTCCGCTTAATTTTTACTTTACTCATGGCTCTTTCGGCTGAACAGGAAGTTGTAGGAAGGGTTAATAAATATTTATATAATAAATTTAAATTTGAATAAGAATTTAATTGATTTAAAAGTCGGTATGATAATATAAAAGAAAATTCTATCCATTTTTTTATTTTGGTCATGATTTCGCTGTTGATATTTTCTTTGGTAATTTGATCGTTTGCAATACCTTTAATTATATACAATTACAAATAAAATATCAATAAATTACTTTCATCAATATATAACGCGTCATTCTTTTTAACTTTTAAAAGATCTTCGCAAAAAATGATTGATTGAGACTCCAAATATAAAGAGCGAAAATCATTATATTCATCAACAATGTTTTGGACATCCAATTGATAAGTATTACAAATTTCGGATATTTGCCATCCTTCTATTTTTTCATTATCCATAATTCCAGCGGGAGTAAAAATGGATATCTGTGATAAAAAATTTAAACAATCATAATTAAATCGATCATTTAGGTGATTAATTATTGCATTTAGAACAGGGAAAAATATTTCCGTTCTATATCTATAATAATAAATAATAATTTAAATTTTTTTAATTTATTCAACTTGTTTTTTTTTTGTTCAACATAATTATTGAATTCTGTTTGATCCAATTTGAATATTGATTTCATATTATACAAATCAGTTATTACATTATTCTTTTTCAAAAAACTATTAGATAAGGAATGTAATTTTAAAAATATATTGTCTCCATTAGCTATATTTTAAAATTATTTATAGAAATAGTAACTAATATTAACCTTTTAGTTTTTGTAATTTATTTTTTGTATGTTGTATTAATTTGGTTTCTGCCTGCATTTCAATACAAGCCTCATGTGTATATTTCAATATTTCTTTCAAAATAAAAAGACTTAATATAAAATTTTCATCTTTAATTCTTGATAATAACCCATCGGCAATGTAAGAGGAGCTTGGGTCATTAGAATCTTTTAATTCAACTAATGATGCTAAAATATGTTCATAAACATCTAAAAAGATTTCTACAGATTTGTAGGATGATGACCAATTTCTGAAAATATATAAGTTTCAAGTTTCATTAAAAATATTTTATTTACCTTGTTGTGTTTTTAATTCTTTTAAGAGATTTCTTGGACTTTCTCATTTGATATTTAACAAACACACCTTGACGTCTAACTCCATTCATAAAATTATATAACTCATCTAATATTCCCATTGCCTTTTTCATTTCAATTTTGCATCCACAAACATGAGCAACTACTAAATTTAGCCGATGTGCATGGCACCAAATATAGATGGCTTTTGGAGCCTCTTTCAATATTAAAGCCTGCATTCCTTTGTATACTCCTCTCATATTCCCTGCACCATCCATACTTTGTCCAACCAAATAATCAAGAGGAAGACCAAGATCATTAAACTTAGAAAAAACATGTTTCTTTATATTTTCCCCAGTGGTTTCTGATGTTGTAAAAACATGTATGATCCTTTCTACAGGATGTGGATGCAGATCATCTTCTATATACCGTACAAGCAAAGCTATGCATTCTTTTTTAGACACATCATATGTTCCATCTAATATGATGCTATAGGCACGATTCTCTTTAATTGTTTGAATAATGCTTTTTGTTATTTTTATCTTAATAATTTCAGTTATTTTTTTCACATGGCCATATGACAATAAATTTATATAAGGTCTCGAAATTTTATCTGATTTTTTTCTCCGCAATTTTTCGTTGTTATCCATGTATGCACGTAAAGTTGGAACCGTTTTTGCCATTAATTTTATGAGACACATAAAATTACCTTCATTCGAATTAGAACCCCAAAAGGCTATATTACATTTTATAAGGTACATAATGGCATTGATAATATTATGAACTATATTACGATTTTCCATGATTATATCAAGCTTATTTGATAGCAAATGATCTTGAATGCGTTTATTTGCAAGCCAAGTCATGTTTGCATATTCACAATCTTTATGAAGAGAAGATGCTTCGTGTCTCTCTAAGTCACGCTTTATGTTTTTCCAATTATTTACCCCATGTTGAGTCCAAAAAGTATTGGACTTAGGGCCACCAAACATAATACAATATAGACAAAAGACTTTGTCTAAAGTAGTGCTATAAGATAGCCAATTTCTGGGGTTGAGGGAACCATCTATATTAACCTTTCTATAATATGTTATATTCATGCTCCTGTTTAAAAAGTAAAAAAAAAATATTGGTATAGAAATAATGGATGGGTAAAAATTAATGAAAATAAATATTATTTAAAACCTCTTGTTAGTAACAGGATATTGAAATTTATTTGTACATGGCTGACAAGGGCCTACAGCAATTATGAAATTTATCAAAATATTTGTCATCCTAAATAATATAAAGTGAAAAAGGTCATTTGGTTCCTTTTTTTTGTATAGCTGAATAAGACTTGGACTTTGAATATCCTCATAATTTATTCCCTTCAAAGGTCATTATATAAATTTTATTTAAATATAATGCCTCATGCAAAGTAAGTCCCTCACTAGAACCGGGGATTGGATGAGGAGATAATACAATTTGTGAATCTTCAATATTGGAGATTTGCTATAAATAAAGAGTATAATTTGTTTACTTATGAAAATCTATTTTTAATATAATTTTAGCCAAATGGTCATTTTATTCTTAGCTACATTATAATTAAGTTAATCAATAAATGTTGGAAATATTTAAATGTCCTAATTTATTTTCTTCAAAAGTTATCATATAATTCGTATTTAAATTAAATACCTCATCATGCAAAGTAAGCGCCTCACTGGAACTGGGGATTGGATGAGAAGATAATACAATTTGTGAATCTTCAATATTGGAGATTTGCTATAAAGAGTATAATTTGTTTACTTATGAAAAACTATATTTTTAATAAAATTTTAGTCAAATGGTCATTTTATTCTTAACTACATTATAATTAAGTTTTTAATAAAGGTTGGAAATATTTAATTAGCCTCATAATCATAATTTATTTCTTTCAAAAGTTATCATATAATTCGTATTTAAATTAAATACCTCATCATACAAAGTAAACACCTCACTGGAACTGGGGATTGGATGAGGAGATAATACAATTTGTGAATCTTCAATAACTGAGATTTTCTATAAAAAAAGAGTTTAATTTCTTTCCTTATGATAACTATATTTTTAAGAAATTTTTATTAACTACATTATAATTAAGTTTTTAATAAATGTTTTAACTCTACATGAATACATGATTGAGAAAACAGGTATTAAAAATATTATGAAGTCCAACATAAAGTTATCAGGTTACAATGGAAAGATGATACAAGTAATAGGTAAAGCACAAGTGAATGTAGAATACAAAGGGAATTCACATATTTTGAACGCAATAATCATAAACATCAATATGACTTTGTTAGATCATGTAAAAACATTTTTAAAATATACTTGAAAGATTCATAGGCATGATAGATGCAGATTAATATAAAACTGCGATCACATGAAGAAATCATAAAACAATATTATAATGACTATAAAAATAAAAACAATATTAAGTATAAATAAAATTGTGAAATTCATGATGAAAGTATATTATTTAAAGAAATTCTAATAGCTAAATAAAACAATGATAATAAACATACCTAATATAACACATAATGTAAATAAAGGGGATGAAACTCACACAGATAACATTTTGAAAATAGTTGATTCCAAATCATATTTTATATTTATATTTAAAAAAAGTAAAAGAATTTGAAGTCTTAATTCAATTAAAGATGAAAAGATTTAAATTTAAAAATTCCTAGAAATTAACATTACCTTATTTTACTACATTATATTAACTTAATAAGTTTTTTTAATACTTTGGTTTTAAATTATTATTATTAACTTATTAAACATATTGTTAAATTGAACTTTATAAAGTATATATAGATATAAAAATAGTGTGATAAACAGTTAAAAAACATTAAATAATAATATATATAATTTATTTTCTCTATACCCTGACTACTTTAATATTAATATTATTCTGGTAAAATTTTAAATCAGTTTCTATTAATTCACAAATTTATAGTTACAATAATAAATAAAAATATTACTTTTTGGAAGTAAGATGTTATTGTCTTTTTTTGCAACTGGGTTTCAACTCCATTTGTGATATTATATGGAATATCACAATTTAAAGATACCCAATTATTATTATCTCTTTTGATGGCTACCTTTGTAAATTTTATATCAGCTGGCTTGACATGAGGATGTTTATGTTTATAATGTTCATGTATCTTGTCACTTCTTATTTTAGAAGTTTTGCAATTTTTAATATTGCACTTAACTTTAAATATGGTTTTGTTATTTGGCATCTAGAAAGAAATAATTATTATAATATAATTTTTTACATATTATGTTTTTTATTATTCTTTGCTTGCTGATATATGTTTTTATGCATGACTCAAAAAATTACCTAAAATTTATCCTGCTAAAATCTATAAATTTATTAAAAAACATAATATAAATATATTAACCTCTAAGAAAAGTACCAAATAGGAAATGTGTAAATATTAACTTGATAAAATGCTAAATGAAAATCGTTGACAAAGAAAATTTATATTATTTATTAATTGACAAATATCTTTACTTTAATTGACATTTTTCAGATAATCAAACGATAACCATCATAATCGTATCAATGGATTAAAAAAAGATTATAATTCAAATCAAAAATTACCCACCAAAAATCAATACCTACCCCCAAAAAAATAATGCCTACCCCCAAAAAATTAATATCAACCCCTTAAAATCGATACCTACCCCCAAAAATGCTAATATATTTTGGAGGCATTTGTCTCCTACCCCCCCCCCCCCGGCCATGTAGACGCTGCCCAGAGGTATTGTATTTAGGATATATTTGAATTATTTTTTGAATGATAACCTTATAATTATTTTTTGAATAATAGCCTTATAATTATTTTTAATGTTTTTATTATAATTAATGCATTGCCTTTAGATAGTAGTTCCAAAAATGGCCTTTATGATGAAATTATTCCACTTGCTACGGAGTTTGTTGATCCAAAGTCTCCCAGAGGTATTGTATATAGGATATATTTGAATTATTTTTTTGAAAATAAAGCAGCACGTGTGTTACTTATAGATAGTGGTTCCCAAAATGTTGAGTTTGAAGATAAAAATATTCAGCTTGACAGGGATTTTATCCATCCAAAGACTCCCATAGGTAATGTTATTTCTGATATATATTTGATTTATTTTTTAATTTATTACGTATACAGAATTGGATGATATTTTGATAATAAATAAATTAGAAAATATCCCTAGATATTTTCTTCCTACAACAAAGGTATGGAAAAAATATCATGCTAAAATATATGGTCTAAAGCCTCCCAAACGTTTTCGGGATGTAGACTATGGGAAACAACTTGGTGAACCCACCATCCTGGTGCAAATTGAAGGTGATGGGAATTGTTTTTATAGGTAAAACATATTAATATAAAATTTCATTTTATTCTACTTTATATAATTTAGGGCGATTAGTGTAGAGCTTACTGGAGCTCAAAATTCCCATGATATTCTCAGGCAATGGTTGGCACTATCTAACATCCGAGATGGGAAAGGTAATTGAAAATTATCTTCACGACACGAACAAAAAAATAGACATAAACTTATGTCTTAAATAATGTAATGACACAGCAGATATGGGCTTCTGACACAGCAGATATGGGCTTCTGACACAGAAGTCAGGGCGATGGCCACAATGTTAAATACGGCTATTTTTACTTATATAAAATATAATGATAATTTTGTATGGGCCCGATATGACCCATTTTATATTCGCGACAATATTAAAATATTTAATAATAATTTTATTTATATAAAAAATGGGGGGAGTCATTTTGAAAATGTTTTAGATTGCGATTTATCTTCCATCTAATCACTATTTATTATTTTTATTTAAAAAAATTTTTTATATAAAAATATAAAAATATATTTCATTCATATTATAATTTATCGCCTTATATATATATTTTTTATGAAAGTTGTAGTTTATAAATAAAGTTCAATTACATTCTGATATGCAATATATGATAATAATTATATTTTTCCATGATGTTTTTATTAAATTTAAAATTATGTATAAATATTTATATCAATAAAGTTCTTCGTCTATTTTCTTATACCAAATAAAGTTTTATCTAATATTTGAGACCCAATTCAGTACAAAATAATATAGAGATGGATTATCTTTAAAACATTATATTAGGTAAACAAAATAAGCATTACGACTAAGCCATTTAGATTTATCTTACTGTTTCTTTGCGTGATTTTTAGAGGGTTGGGTAGAAAAGGCGGTTTGCCTCTAGTAAATTTTCTGTCATATATGAGCTTTGTCTAAATTAATGTCTATCGAGAAGATGTACTTTGTATAAGAAATATCATGGGATCGGAGTATTTGGTTATTTTATAAATTTCATGTTGTGTAAATTAGCATGTTAGTAAGGATCTCTTCCCTACCTAAATATTGCTAAACTTTAATTATGATATTGATTGGAGTCTCCTATCAATAATCTGAACTAGAGGTGTGGATTGGGTGGTTTTTTCGCCCGTAATTTAAAAAAAAAATTTTCAACATTGGGCGAGAGGGTTAAAAAATTTGGGAGAATTTGATATTTTTCAGGCGAAATGAGCAGAACAGTAAATAGATTTTCATAATATTCCATATTATATGTTTAATTAAAAATACATTAAAATAAATAAAGAGCCAAACCAGCCATAAAATAATTTTAAAACAAAATATATATAAAAAAAATTATAAGTAAGAGCGAGGGCAGGTTAAAGAAATCTTTTCGCTAAAAACCCGCCCATTACAGACCTCTAATCTGAATATCTTATCACACACTATTTGGTATGATATGCAGACTAAAAATATAAATTTAAAACTATAAAGAGGCGGCGACTATTTAGATAAGATAGATAAAAAAACAATTTAAATAAAAAATGTACCCTACATGGATTTGAACCCGGATTTTGAGGATAGGTATGTAAGTCTTACTAACTAGACTACCCACCACACCTTGTAATGCTTAATTTTATTTGTTATATATAATCTACTTTTTAATTAAATTTATATGTATCAAAAAGAGAAATTTTATTTTATTGTTAACTTTAATGATGTTAAAATAAAGATGAGCTCTTGAAATGAAACAATATCTATTTTACAAAGCATTACTAAAATATTATTTTAAAACATAGATTATAATTAAATAGTTAGGTGTGATACCATTATTGTCTCTATATTATATTTTATATCCTTAACTTTAATGATGTTCCTTGATTTTACAGCTCTCATTAACTTAATGATCTTAAAAAAATAAAGATGAGTTCTTAAAATGAAACGATATATATCTTGCAAAGAGGTCCGTGAAGTTGTAAGAACGATGTAAGGATCAATTAACAAAACATATGCCATTATTTAGAGTCTTAATTGATCTTCAAACCAGACATCAGCAGAATTAAAGGTTATTGAGTTATAAGCAAAATAATGAAAGTGCGAAGATTTGCAGCTGTAAGAATGATTTGAGGATCAATCCCGTTAATTGATTCTAATTGATCTTCTATCCGGAAAGCAGCGGATTGAACCGTTACTGAGTTATGAGCAAAACAAAAAAGTATTGGCACTTTGCCAAAACCGAAAATAAAAAAGATCACGATCTGAAACTTGGCAATTATTTAGGCTTTAATTTGTGCGTTAATAATATCCAAACCGGATATCGATATCACTAACCGCAACTGAGTTATGACCGGTTTTTATAGCGTGAAGTTGTAAGAATTTTTTTAAAAGGTGAGGATCAATTACCAAAAATTATGCCAAAGTGTGGTGCGTTAATTGATCCTCCAGAATCTTTAAACCGCATATCAACAGAATAAACCGTTCGTGAGTTATAAGCAAAATAGAAAAGTTTTGGCACCTTGCCAAAATTAAAAATTTGAGCAATCATTTTTTTAGTTATAGCCAATATTTAATACCTTAATTGATCCTCCATATTCTTTAAACGGAATGTCAAAATAATTAAAGGCTATTGAGTTATAAGCAAAATAATGAAAGTGCGAAGATTTGCAGCTGTAAGAATGATTTGAGGATCAATTACCGTAACTTAAATCACTGTATAGCCCGTTAATTGATCCTAATTGATCTTCTATCCGGAAAGCAGCGGAATGAACCGTTACTGAGTTATGAGCAAAATAAGAAAGTGTTGGCACTTTGCCAAAACCGAAAATATAAAAGATCACGATCTGAAACTTGGCAATTCATTAGGCTTTAATTTGTGCGTTAATAATATCCAAACCGGATATCGATCACTAACCGCAACTGAGTTATGACCTGTTTTTGCTGTGTGAAGTTGTAAGATTTTTTTTAAAAAGTGAGGATCAATTACCAAAATATATGCCAAAGTGTGGTGCGTTAATTGATCCTCCAGAATCTTTAAACCGCATATCAACAGAATGAACCGTTCGTGAGTTATAAGCAAAACAAAAATGTATTGGCACTTTGCCAAAACCGAAAATAAAAAAGATCATGTTTCGAAACTTGGCAATTATGTAGTATTCAATACGTACATTAACAATCACCAAACCGGATATCCATATCACTAACCAATACCGAGTTATAGCCGTTTTAAAAACGTTAAGTTGACGGAAATATTTAAGCTGTAAGAACGATTTGGGGATCAATTACCGAAACTTATATCATTGTATAGCCCGTTAATTGATCCTAATTGATCTTCTATCCGGAAAGCAGCGGAATGAACCGTTACTGAGTTATGAGCAAAATAAGAAAGTGTTGGCACTTTGCCAAAACCGAAAATATAAAAGATCACGATCTGAAACTTGGCAATTCATTAGGCTTTAATTTGTGCGTTAATAATATCCAAACCGGATATCGATCACTAACCGCAACTGAGTTATGACCTGTTTTTGTTGCGTGAAGTTGTAAGAATTTTTTTAAAAAGTGAGGATCAATTACCAAAATATATGCCAAAGTGTGGTGCGTTAATTGATCCTCCAGAATCTTTAAACCGCATATCAACAGAATGAACCGTTCGTGAGTTATAAGCAAAACAAAAAAGTATTGGCACTTTGCCAAAACCGAAAATAAAAA